CCTGTATACAACACCCACTCCCGTCCAACACACTACACACACTACCCGTAATGACACCCACTCCCGTCAACACATTACACACACACTACCTGCCATACAACACCATCAGTCAACACACTACACACTACCTGTATGCAACACCCATAACCGTCAACACATTGCACACACGCTGCCAACCACATGCCACACCCGCTCGTCAACACAAAACGCACACTACCTCTACACAACACCCACTCAAATCACACACACTACACACACTGCCTGTATGCAACACCCATCCCGTCAATACACTACACACACTACCTGTATACACCAACACCCACTCCGTCCAACCACACTACACACACTACCGCACCATGCAACACCCACTCCCGTCAACACATTACACACACACTACCTGTATACCAACACCCACTCCCGTCAACACAAAACACACTACCTACACAACACCCACTCCGTCAGCACACTACACACACACTACCTGTATACAACACCACTCATCGTACACTACACACTGCCTGCATGCAACACCCACTCCGTCAACACACTACACACTGCCTGTATACAACACCCACTCCCGTCAACACACTACACACACTGCCTGTATGCAACACCCACTCCGTCAACACATTACACACACACTACCTGTATACCAACACCCACTCGTCAACACAAAACACACACTACCTCTACTACACAACCACCCTCCGTCAACACACTACACACACACTACTGCCATACAACACCCACTCCCGTCATACACTACACACACACTACCTGTATACAACACACCCACTCCCGTCAACACACTACACACACTGCATATGCAACACCCACTCCGTCAACACACTACACACACACTGCCTTCAACCCCACTCCGTCAACACTACCTATATACAACACCCACTCCGTCAACACTACACACACTACCCTCAACACACCACTCCGTCATACACTACACACTACCGCCATACAACACCCACTCCGTCAACACACTACACACACTACCTGCATATACAACACCCACTCCGTCACACACTACACACACTACCTGAACATGCAACACCCAATCCCGTCACACACTACACACACTACACCAACGCACACCCACTCAGTCAACACACTACACACACTACACTGCATACCAACACCCACTCCGTCCAACACACACTACACTAACTCCTTACATACAACACCCACTCCGTCAACACAATACACACACGCACTGTATGCAACACCCTCCGTCAACACTACCTATATACAACACCCACTCCGTCAACACACTACACACACTACCTGTATACAACACCCACTCCGTCAACACACTACACACTACCTGTATCGCACCCTCCCGTCA